CAGTTTCGCTATTCTCGAATGTTGCCAATAGCTCCATGTCATGATCAGCCCTGATACAGTATGTCATTGGGTCTCATTTGCAGCCAGGTAGTCAAGTCTGTGTCTCCTTCCTTTTGAGGAAAAAAAAAACACAAAAATAGTTTTGGTAACAACTACACAACCCTCATTAATTAACAGCTTATGTTTTCACTAACAAGCTCAGGGGTGGAAAAAATATTTTACTTTCTGGGACCGCAAAAAGTTCATTGAAAAATTTTCTGCAAATGATCAAGTAAATCGACACTCGGCCAATGTAACTGTGTGACACCTAATAAGTTGTCAAACTGGATGTCATGCTACATGTATATTTACAGAAAAAAAATATTTCAGTGCACTGAGAATCTTAAAATATAACATAAAGCTAATATAGATAACATGCATCAAGGGTCTGATCCTAAAGTAAATACAGATGCAAAATTGGCACTGGGGGGCACTATCAGGTGGATCCATGCTCTAGCTCCCAGAAAATTTTGAAATCAAGTGTCCCAGATTGGCTAAAAATGCATTTGCCATACAACAATTGTTACATCATTCTATAGTCTAATACATTTATACACTATCGCAAAACTATCGCACTATTAAGATGGTTGCACTTATAATTGCATTTCCGAGGTCATGGTGTTAATTTTCCTCTGAATTTCTCCTTTTATCTGAATTATTACAATTTTTTCTTTCTTGGGGAAATATTTTCTGGGAACTCAAAAAAATTTCTGGGACCAATGGTCCCGTGGTCCGATACTTTTTCCACCCCTGAACAAGCTATCCCCTGGGGTTATAGACAGAGCGAAATACTATGATGGATGGAACAAGAGACACTGGCAGATAGTTTTTGTTAGCCCATATTAACTTTATCTCAACTATAGGAAAGCTCAAAACTAAGAAGATGTATATTATTATGTACAGTGTACACTAAATTTGATTCAGGCCTTACTAAATGAATTTTATAAAATGAAACTATAACCTCACCTCAACAAAGTTTATGATGTCCAGTTTGCTCTTAGCAGGTTGACTTTTTGATTTGAAGAGTGAATTAAATGTTCTTCATTAGGTGAAGTACTTTCTGTAGAATTACACACATAAAAAATAATATTAATTAAGTTACCGGTACATTTTTAATAAAAGCATTGTGATATTTTGAGAGCTAAAAAATGCAATTTTGATTTTTCATATCATTTATTAGTTACCGGTACAGCATAAACCAAAATGCAATTTTCATTTATTATTTTCTATTAACGACACCTAATGTCGGTGCTAAATTGCTAATGAATCCAATGTTGGTACCGGTACTCTAATTAATAAAAAAACAAAATATCATTTAATTACCAGATCACTGTTCATGTGGTGGCTTCATAACTCCTTTTGAAATGCCATGATAGTAAATAAGTGGGTCCAATTGGTCAATCAGCTGCTGCTTTTCACAATTCCTCATGTATGCACTTTCTTCTGCTTCATTGGATTGATTGAGGCTCCTCCGATCTTCTTCAACAACCTGCGGACATATTGATGAGTGATAATGTAATTTTTTTGAAAATAACCGCATACCTTATTCCAGAGTTTTTATAACCATGATACTGTAGCTCATATATACCTTACTCAGTAGTCAGTGGTATAACTTTACTTTTTTGACCATTTGTCATCAGGGCAAGTTCAACTTGCCAAGTTGGATATGAAAATTAGTTTCCGTGAATAAAATTCACTTGCCATGAGACAATGGCCACTGGGGTACCCAGGTAGGGGCTATAAATGTCGACACATTGTTCCATGTCAACACATTCTTCCACTGCTCTAGATGGCTATGTTATACTGCTTCAGACTAGCTGTGACCCACAGAAAAACAAAATTTGAATCCATGCACAAGTACAACATGCACTGCATAAAAAAATTATCTGGCAATGAAAACATAAACTTGAAGATGCCCAGCTTTTTGTGACAATGATATTCACTTGCCCCGGGCATGGATAATAAAATAAATGGATAGGAAACTAGCTGACGTGACCTAATGTTTTTACTGGGATTGATGGCGTGGTTGGATGCATCAACCTAGTTGAAAATCAAATTCTCAAAAACGGCATGTTTAGCAATAATACAGCTAAACATTTTAGTCAAGGAGCAAATAAATGTAACCACGCCATTCTACGATGAAAACTCTACGTATTCCCGGTCAATTTTAGCAAATATTTCAAGCACTAAACAGTAAAAAATACATCACAAATTTCGTTAAAATTTGTGACGCCAATTCGTAGCTACAAATGTAAAAAAATACAAAACAAAGACGAAAAACATTTACCTTGAATACTTTGTCGTGGCTTAGGCATGTTTTTAAAACAATTAGACCAGTTTACGCTTCAAGATCACCCTTTTAAAGCGGAAAATATTGCAAAACAACGAATATGCCGAGAACTTTGGTAACATTCGCAATACGCGTGACGTCACGTTTTTCAAAAAGGATGCAGTCAATGACGTCAAAAGTTTCCAACCATTTATTTTATTATCCATGCCCCGGGCAAGTGTTAAATTACAACTGTGTTACTTATTGAAAGCATAATGATATAACTTGGCATCCTTAACCAATTAACCACCATCACTCTCCCACTCACAAATAAAATTGTCTGGCATTAGACAGGAATACAATAAAGGGTGCGATGCAACTTCATGGGTTAAAATTTGACACTTTGACTGTGGGACCATGATTTCTCGGACTCAAATTGACCATAATGACTCACATTTTCCCATGAAAGGAAATAAGTAATTTATTTGTAATCATTCTATTCTGTAGGATAGAGTTTATAACATGAGAAAGAATTTTTCCAGCAAAATCCATTAGATTGGTATAAAATGTAACGGCGATGGTGTTGGTATTTGTGATTTAATATGCTATTGCCTCATATTCCAAAAAACATTCATATGGTTATGATTTAACCTCAGTTGTATGTGAGATAAGTGCTACTTGTTTCAGTAACCCGTTGAGTGATGGCACTGACAGGTAAAATCATCTGACATTATACGGAGTAAAACAATAAAGTTGTGGCACAATGCAGCTTAAGCAATGTACGGCCTAGTGTAATATCCCGTTAACACCCCATCTCATCTAGCTTGCAATATGAACTCTATCGACTGTTTACGGTAAAGTGAATTATTCTACTTCTTTCTGGCCTAGGCAGGATCCCATTATTTGTTGCCGGGATTGCATCTGCCAGGACGAGAAATTCTTATACAAGCACTCTATCATCCCTGCTAGGTGGAGAGGCGGGGTGTATTCCGTCTATATATTAAACACACCATCCTGGATTAAAACCTCCTGTCTAGCCATGCCATTATCACATAAACAGGCACAATATATCACACACATATATGCAGGGTTAGACATGAGTGAAGACACTGGCACTCCAGCTCAATGCCAATGGGTTGAATATTAATTTAAAGTCAATCCATTTACATGCTATAAACCAAGAAATATGCACTGAACTGATAAGTTAATATTATAATCAATTCTATATATTGAGTTAACAATTTTATGATTCAGATAGATAACATTGTAATTGTAAGTTTAATACTCTCAAATAATTTTCATGTTTTGGCTAATAATAGGCTTGAAGCAATCAGCAAGTAAATATTATTCATATTCACATATTGTTTTATAATATACTATGTGGGTTCAAACATGCTTTCTCCAGTTTTGTGAACCAAGTGGCAAGTGTAACCCAGTATTTACTATGTGTTTATTCAAAATTTGAATTGTTGATTTTAACTAATATTTGACGGAATTGAAATGAAATAATTCAATATATAAAACCTCTCGCGCGCAAATTCAAATTTAGCAATAGCAGACAGCCACAACAGGCTATAACAGCCACAAGATAAAATGAGTAAATACGGTCGATGTACGTTATAATTATACGATATAAACAGTAATATTTCATACCTGAGATCAATAAGCCTTCGGCAGGATTCGGAGTCACTTATCCAGAACCAAATATGATAAAAAACACGATATTCTTGAGCGAAATATGCTCAAACGACAAAGTCGAAAATTTGTAATTCACACTTGATACTTGATATACGATATCCCACAACTCATTGCGCGCGTGGCCCTTGTCTTCTAAAATACATACACCAAAAAGCGCTCCCAATCTATCGCCAGCTTGAAACTATAGGAAGCATTTATAATCTGGCCAAAAAAATGATTATAAAAGAATGATGAAAATTCTTATAAGCGAATAATGAGACAGATTTTCTAAAAAAATTATATGCCAATTGCAACAATATAAAATTTTTATCGTTTAACGTATCGCATGTCATAACATTTGACCTACCTCCTCCGCAGGCGCTTAGGGAGCATTGACAGCATTAACCGTGATGTCATAACATGTCGGTGATATTTACGCAAAATCTTGGGTAAATTTACACATCATTTTTTGCGGTGGATCATACCATCTTCATTAAAGCGTAGATAGACGATTGTTGCAAATGATTTGAATTCATATATAATTGTTATTTTTCAATAGCAATTCATTGGGCATATTCAAATTCATTGTGATATCCGCCATGTTGAAACTGCGACATTCAGGACAGAGCCGCTCAGCTTCAAATTTGACAAAAAAGTGAAAGATATACAATATTACAATTAGGTTTATTCAATTCAATATCATATCTCGTTTTAGCCATGCAAAAGTTGCCAAAAGAAAGGTTTTGATATATGCGATAAATAATATTAAACTTTATTTCAAGATTGTTTTTCTAATTATAAGAATATTATTCTAGGATGGAAAAATGTTATTCTTAAAATAAGAAAAAAATTCTCTCGAATATTCTTGCCCAGTTATATTTTCTTATTTTAAGATTTTTGTTCTTAAAACTAGATTTTTTTTCTTGAAATATTTCTTGATAAGAAATATTTACTTAAAATAAGAAAAATAATCTAAAAAATAAGAATATTATTCTAGACTAGAATTTGATTTTTTGCAGTGTAGTTTATCACGAATCTCTCTATACTTATTCCAATGAATTTGGGAGTTATGTTTCATGGCTTGATTTTTATGGAAATCTCTAATCTCATTTTTTCTTTTAGTTTTTGTGTAATCCAAAGGAGACTGTTTGCAGCCCGGATTCTTATATGCCTGAGACGGCTGAGAGGTGCGTATCTATCTAGAGCTTCCAGGTAGAGGGATTGCCATATTTTCCCACATACATTAGGACTGTCGTGCAATACTATAGATTCTCAAGGGATCTGCGACATATCACGTAGAAAATCTCCAGTATTAAATTTTTTAAAATTCCGAACATGTTTTATGTTTTCTCGAGATCTTGAAAGACTAAATTTTCTAACTACATAAGTCAAATTGTGTTCTGATACTCCAAGATAAACCACGCCAGCTGATGTTCTTGTTACTCTTTTAGGTTCATTAATTAACTGATCAAGTTAATACAATGAAGAAAAAACAGCAAGTTCCGCGTGCTTTAGAATCATAGGGTGTACTTAATTATGTATAATTATTACAATTTAGATCGCATTATCATAGGCGTATGGGACTGATGGTTTCCAGGGGGGCAGTTGAAAGTTAGCCAGAATTTGTTATGGAGGATTATAATGAAATAACCTGAATTTAACCTATTTCTCATAAATTTGTCCGAATCTTCTTGATTTTTCCTAGCATTTGCCCGAATTTCTGTGGTTTTCCAAAAATGTGAGGGGGGGGGGGGTGGAATTGCCCCTCACTCGTCTCGTACGTCTATGCCCATTATTAAAAGGAAAGATTCGAATTCAACGATTAAATCAACATTATAATTCGGCGGTTTATACCATGCGTATAGAAGAAATGGATTATTACTTGTTTCTTGATCTCAATACATATAATTTCCAATCTAGTCCATTATGAAGTCATTTCGTTCTGCGTATGATATAGATTCGCGAAGATACATTAGCACGCGACCACCATTTCTATTTTTTTCTATTTCGCGTTGGAGCGGCTCTGAAAGTTGGGGGAGGGACACTTAGCTCCCACTGAAAAATTTTGCAAAATGTGAAAAATTTCTGAAATGCCAATTCCTGCAATTTAGAGGGAGATCTACAAAGTTCTTAAGGTAACAATGTTGAACTGTGTATTCTCCAAATTTCGTTCCTGTTTTCTATAAAATAAATAAAAATAGGTACGCAGTGCGTACATGTTGCATGCCATCAAAAGCTAGCGTGAAAACCATAGATATAGGAGATCTAGATTGCTAACGCATACCTAGCGCAGGCGGGGCCTACATGATAAATCCAAGATAGCGGTACAACAGGGCAAAAAGACTATAGATTCTATTACGAAAATCAGGATTTTTGCATTTTTTGCCGTCGCATTGTTTCGAAACTTATTCGGTCAAATTTTATGGTAAAGAGAAACTCACCGCGAGGATTTTGAGCATATATATGATTGAATTGGATGAAAAATCGCAAAATTATCCAGCCATAAAAGTTCGTGTGAAATGGTCAGTATACTGTTGGTCACTTGGAGCGTTTTATTGCCAGAAATACTGTGCTATGTTAACATCTAGCCTTGTGAATGGTGTTTTATACTTGCATCTCTCATCATCATCTGCTCTGTCCTCATAATTATGAAAAATGAACTGTTATGTACCCCCCCCCCCTTGCTTGTTAGAGAAGTAAACTGATGAGAGCACTGGATGAGGGTCTATCATCTATGGTCTGTTATAATTTGCTTTTTATGCAAATAGTGAGCAAAAATTAAAGCAAAACTGTACAAGTTACATATATAGTACTATATCAGTACTTAAAAATGATGATGAGAGATGCAAGTATAAAACACCATTCACAAGGCTAGATGTTAACATAGCACAGTATTTCTGGCAATAAAACGCTCCAACTGACCAACTGACCATTTCACACAAACTTTTATCGCTGGATAATTTTGCGATTTTTCATCCAATTCAATCATATATATGCTCAAAATCTTCGCGGTAAGTTTCTCTTTACCATAAAATTTGACCGAATAAGTTTCGAAACAATGCGACGGCAAAAATGCAAAAATCCTGATTTTCGTAATAGAATCTATAGTATTTTTGCCCTGTTGTACCGCCATCTTGGATTTATCATGTAGGCCCCGCCTGCGCTAGGTATGCGTTAGCAATCTAGATCTCCTATATCTATGGTGAAAACAGACCTACATTCCGCCCGCCCTAAAATTCGCAGGTTGACGGAGCTGTTAGACTTGCTCCAAGTCTCTCTTTCATTGTCATATAGTAGCAATCCACTATAGTGTACATTACATAACGTACTACGGAGGGGCGGAGCGAGAAGGAGAGACTTGTCAACTTCCGAAAATCTCGGTTGAAAACTGAACAGAAAATGCAAGACTTGCTTTAATTGTTTTCCTTCAATTTCTTTCTGTATTATTTACTATAATGGAACTCATGTTATTTACACTGTGCTAGATCAATACATATAAACACTGACAGAAAACGATTAAAGCAAGTCTTGCATTTTCTGTTCAGTTTTGAACCGAGATTTTTCGAAGTTGACAAGTCTCTCTTTCTCGCTCCGCCTCTCAGTGCTACGTCATGTAATGTACACCATAGTGGATCGATAAGACAATGAAAGAGAGACTTAGAGCAAGTCTACGGATCCGTCGACCCGCAAATTTTAGGGTGGGCGGAACGTAGGTCTGTTTTCAGGCTAATCAAAACCATGAAACGTTATGACA